ATTTCAAATAATATCTTCACAGCTGTAAATTTTAAATTCAAGTAAGAATAATATAAGTTAAATACAATCAACACTCATTATACCAAACTTTATACACTAAATCTATTCTATAAGAACCAATTAGTTTGGTATAGAGTGTTAACTTTATTTTAATAATATATAAATAAAAAACTAACTTTTATATAGTTATAAAGACAGCCCACCACGAAAATCAAATCATCTTACAATATTTAGATATCATTGCGCCCAATTACTTGATCGGCAAAAAAAATCAAAAAAACATGAAGACCATACAAAACATAGAGACCGTTTACCAATGCAACGGTTCCATTGCGGGGGTTGGTTATTACTTACTATTGATACAGAGAAAATGCAAATTACAATTGAGTTAAGTCATAAGTATCATGTTGAATATGTCGACGTACGCGTCATGAATGAAATAAAAGAATATGTTCAAGCCAACCTTCAACAAACACCTCGAAATATATGGGAAAATCTCGGTACAAGGAGCGTAAATATTACTGAGAAGCAAATATATTATTGGTGGATGATCTTTAGTCAACATATTTGGAAAAAAGATGAAAATCAAATACAGTCAGCAATTAAAATTATTAAACAATATGATGATATTGAATTATTGCTAACTGTTGAAGAGAGTGGTATTACCATAATTAGCTTTGGGGTCAAAGAAATTATTAGCCGATTAGGAGTAAATGCAGTCGAGATCGGGGTAGATGCAACGTGTATGTGTTCATATTAGTGTTGCTGGCTAAATATGCTTTCAAAGCTTGAAATACTTTGCCTTCGTCACTTGTTCGAAATTATAATCCATATACAACATTCTATGATTTTCCTACCCGAAATTCATTTTGCAAAATTCAGAGTTCAAGTTTCGTTTTGCTAAAAATTTTGTTTAGCCCGCAACAATGTCTTTTTTTTTTTAAAAAAAAAAAAAAACTAAAAACTCTATTAACAATTAATAATTTTTTACGATTTAGATAACACGAACAAAATGAATCTCGAATTATATTCTGTACTTGCCGAAGTGGATGGAATGGGATTTCCATTAGCCTATATGTTGCTGACCACGGCTACTGCGATGGTTGATGGTGTCCGCACTAGAATGATTGCCCACTTTTTTGATAATTTGCGTCGCATGGGAATCAACCCAACTTTTGTAATGACCGATAAAGATTCTGCACAGATCTCTGCAGTAAAAACAATATGGCCAGATGCTTATATTCAACTTTGCTTTTGGCATTTAAAAAGGGCAATAAAGAAACAATTAGGGCTAAGAAAAGAACCAAAGACAATCCGATATCATGCAAATTCAGCAAATGCTGAATTTTCATTTATTGATATTGATTTTTATCCTAAAATTATATCGCAACAATCTACAGTACAGGCAGAATTAATTCAATCAAGAATTCAACCACAAAGTAAAAAAATAGCGTTTACCTTTTGTCCTCCAGAACATCATAACCATATTCTCAACCTTGTAACAAAACATTTTAACCAACATCTCTATATTCCTGCGGACGATATGCAATATTATTCATCTAACCAAATCCGTGAAACTGCCGTTAAGGAAATATATATATACTGCAAAGACAATGATCTTAAATGGACATGGTCATATCTATGGTTAGAGTGGTATAGTCCATTAAAATAGCCCACGTGGGCACGGGGTGCCAAAAAAGAAATTTCTGTATTAAAGACAACAATGATCGTAGAATCGCACTGGAGACTTATTAAACATAATTATATTAGTAAATTTAATAAACCACGTATCGATTTACTAGTATGGATTCTTGCTGAGCGTCTTCTTCCACAATATATTATTAAAATGCAGGATCTTGAATCAAATAATAAGGCAAGAACTATAGCAGCGTGGCGTCCAGCCTTTAAACGTGATTGGAAAG